CTTTTCAGCCTTATGGCACGTGAGTACACTGGGATTAGGTGTTGTCTTGACATGTTCAGGTCAAATAAATACTCACAAGGAAATAGATGGTCATGAGTAAAAAAAAAAAAAAAAAAACAAAAAAAATTTGGTTTAGGGGTAAAAATGATGTTTCTACAACCCTGTGACAGATGGGACTCAACAAGGTCGTGAATTTGGAGTCCTGGCAGGAAGAGGACGAGTTCATCTTGGAGGAAAAGTGATCAGTTAAAAAACACTAACGCACGTACAACAGGCTTTAATCCATTTTCTAAGGAGGTAAGATCCATATGGATTTCCACAGCAGCGATGCCGCTCAGCACTTGCAGCAGCTCAGGAAACAAGCCCAAGCTCTGTAGTACTAAATTAGGATCACATGCTTGCAGCAACACACTCCCAGGAGTGACTGCCGGGGGTGATTAGTCCTTGCATTTCCTTTTTTTTTTTTTTTTCCTCCCCCTTGTTGGCTTTGTGTTTTGTTTAGAACCACAAGAACCCATCGCCGCGGAGCTCATTTATCGCTGTTAGGAAATTAAATTACATTAAATTACGCTTCCCTCCGCAGGCGTAACTCAAGCGGGATCCTGCGTGTGTGTGTGTGTGTGAGCAGGGCTGCTCGTGGATAAATTTATATGTCAGATATCGCAACCATTTACAGTAAGGGGGGGGGGGTGGGGGGAAAGCCTGGGGGACGTGCAGGGCGCTGCGATCCTGTTTCTGCGGGACTCTGCTTTGGGATCATCCTAAGCCCGGCCCTGGCACTGGCCCCGACGTGTGGCGGCCAAAACAGGGCATTTTGAGCTGTGGCAAAGCAGGGGGGTTCGTGCTGGCTCCCTCCTCCTCCTGGTTATAAACACCTCGTGTGAATTAAACGCACCCAACCCCACGCAGGCCCGTAAATTGAGGTTAAATCGCGATGGGCTGATGAGTTTTGCGCCGCGGAAGGGGGCCGAGGGCTGGCTGGGGAGCTGGCGGGGTTAAGATGTGTTTGCCTTGTGCAGATAGAGGGGTGGTTGGTTGGTTGGTTGGTTGGTTGGTTGGATGCCTCCCTGCGCAGGCAGCAAATGCATTGGCTGAGGTTGAGGGCGGTTCTCCTGCCGCAGTTGTTTTCTGTCCTGGATTTCGTTGGATCCGGAGCCTCCCGACTGCCTCGTCTGCAATCAGAATGCAGCTTTGTGGAACTCGGGGTAGACGGGATAGACGGGGGGGTTTTGCTCCTTTTCTGCTGCATCGTAGAAAGATCAGGTTGATCCACAACAAATCGGTCCCCAAAACCATGTGGGAAGCATCTTGACTTTCCTGCGTGTGGTTTAGAATTTATCCTTTAATGAACTGTCTTTCATCACACCCAAACCACCATCCCGGTGAATGCTGGCTCAGCTTACCCAGGGCGCTGCTATTTTGGACTTGGTGATGATCCTTGAGGGTCCCTCCCGACTCAGAATATTTTGTGATTCTCCTGCGATTTCTATTTAAACCCACCCAGTGGCAGAGAATCCCAAAGGAACAGCAAAACTCAGCCTGAGTGATCTTTTTTTTCCCCCCCTCTTTTTCGGACAGTTCACTGTTTTGGTAGCAAAGACCTAACCCGAAATATTTTTAGTCTTACTTCAGTATTCAGGCAAACTGTTCATTAGCTGAGCAGCTTAATGCTTAATTGACTTGACTGTTAAACATGGATCTGCTGGTTACCTGGGTTGGCTCAGGAATATGTTTACGGTATCAGTGTGTTTTGTTTCCACCTGGAGCACAGGGAAGTGGTGGAACATGGGAGCAATCCAGAGAGGTAGAAATTCCTTTGTGCTGACTCCACTGCCTCCTGTCCCCCCCCAGCTGGGCCTCAGCAGCGCGAAGAAATGTCCCTCTCAGAATCCCTAATCAGAAAGGTTTGGAAAATGCATTGTTCCCTCGGTCTTGGGAGCCACGTTAGCAGAGAGTTAAATATTTATTCACCCCTGGAACAACAGGTTTGAACCTCTTGTGTCTCAGCTCCGTTTCTCCCCCCAGTCCAGGGCGGGTTATTTAGGAATCAGGCTGCTTGTCAGCTTTGGGACGGGGATTTTAACCCTCCAGTTCTTCCAGATCTGCTGCCGAGGTGTTGTGGCTGTGCTGCTCAGCCTTGCTCTGGTGCTGGTGCTGAAGCCCTTGTTCCTGCAGCAGCTTTTGTGGCTTGGTGTGGTGGCTTCTGCCCCTTCCCTGTAGGAGTTGTTCCCTTGTCTCTCACAGGGGTTTATGGAGTTCCTTTCTGACTTGGCCAACACAAACCTATTCGGTGTCGTCCTGCCGTGACAGCACAACGTGGCAGCAAAAAAACCCCCCCAAAACCCGCCATCTGACCTGTCTGAGTCACAAAACCTGTAGTATTAGTTATAAAAAGCCCCAGTGAAGATACTCTGGAGAGGTTTTACACGACTTCAGATGCTCCCTGACATGCAGACTCTGATAATGTCACGCCGACATCTGTTCGGGGATCTTGGGTAATGAGGATTTGCACAAAATAGTGATTGACAATTTCTGGTCTTGAGTGCTTAATGGAAAAAAAAAAAAAAGCCGTTGCCTTGGGTGCTTTGCTTTCTTTGAGCTGTCTTTGAGGCATCAAAAGCCCGTGGAACAGGAAAGAGAGAAACGTTAAGAATGGTTTAAAAATAGTTCAATTGTACCTTCTGAGAACCTTTGGAGTGGGGACTCGAAGCAGTTTCTGCCCTGTGAATATTCACAGCTGAGCTCAAAATGTGTAAATAAGCAGAGGGCTTTGAAGATTAGTTTCCATAACAAATTAAATAAAAATATTGTGTGGCAGAATGTTAAGTAGGTGCCATGTGTCACCGGGTGCTTTGCATGAGGGCCGGCTTTTCCCACTTCCCCATCTGCTCCGCTGGCTCCTTGGGAAACAAGGGCTGTCTTTTGAAGAGTTTTAAACTTTTGTAGTTCTGAAGACCCAGGAAAATATCCATTCCTGCTTGCATTTCCCTGTTTGCTTCCCAGCTGGATGCTGTTCCCGCTCCAGGGAGGTACCACACAGTGTAAGAGTCCTTGTAGGGCATCTCTGGGTCAGGGGAGAAACAGCCCAGGCATTCCCCCCCCACCCATAAACCTTAGTTTAGACTGGAATTAGTGTGATAATGTTTGAACTGAATTCTGGAATTTTCTATTGCCGGTATTTCAAATAAACTGTTGCTGGACAGTGCTCATCTATGGCCTGGTAAGGAATATATAACCATTTAAAACATCCCTGTGGAACCATTTTAAAAGACCACGTAGAACCATTTAAAACAAGCTTCTCATTTTATATTAAGTCTGATGCAAGGTGTCATCTGCAAGTTGCTGCTATTTGGCTGTTGCGTTTCAGTCAGTTGCTATTTGTGACAGGTTCACAGAACGTTGCTAGAAAACGGCAAAAAGTTGGTCAGCACGAAGGAAAATGAATTTGTTAATGAATAAATTGTGAGGGATGCACAGAGAAAACACCTGCAGTGAGTGACTGACGTGGAAGCAGTAAGATATTTGAGATTAAATTGTCCTTGAGGTAGAATTTCAGCTTTGTCCATTTCGTGTGTTTCCTCAGGCTGGAACAAACCAGTGGTTGCTCATCTTTACTACCTCATCTACTGCTGCTTATTCCAAGAATGGCATTAACAGCTTTACCACATTTAATTCTGCAATCCCCCTAACGTGGGGCGGAGGGGGATTTTCCTCCTAACCACAGCTGGGGATTGGATCATCCCAACACACACTGGGGATCCCACATGCTGCTGCTTTGGCCGAATAAAACTGCGCCGTGTTCCCTGACTGCTCCGCTCCCGCGTGTGAACCAGAAATTAAAGATAACACCTCACCCCTGAATGCTGGGGGGGGGCTGGGGCCTCCCCAGATGGAGCTTTGACACTGAGCACTGGACACAAAGCCTGGGGAATCTCGGGGCAGGTGGTTTTAATTCAGGATTTGTCTCTGTATCCCCTCAGTGAGGCAGGAAGGGCATCAGGAGCTGTTCAGACAGAAGGCTCTGGTTTGGCGAGAGCACGGTGGTGTCTCGATCTGCGTCCTGGCAATTCCCAGCTGTGTCCCAGAGGCCATGGGGATAAATCCAGGCCCACGTCCCCCACGTCAGGCCCTTCCTCTTGCTGTATCAAAGCTGGGCTTGGCATCGGTTCTTGCTCCCCGAGTGCTGATTGCAGCTTTGTTCCGTCCCTCCCGACGTGAAGTTCTGGATTGAGCAGTTGGATTTAATCGGTTCAGCCTTGTTTGAACCGCGAAGACTCTGAAGGTGCTGAGGGGCAGGACTGACCTTCCCTCAGGAGCTTCCCTGGCTCTGCTCGGTGTTACTCGTGGTGTTTGCTCTGGGCTGCTCTGCTGGTTTCTGGTTCAGAGCCCAAACTGCTCGTTAAAGGTACCGTGGGGCTCTAAGTGATGGGTAATTAAGAAGTAAACCATAAAAATCTCAAGCAGTAACACTCATGGGTGCCCTTCTTTATGGAGCTGTTGAGAGAGTCACCGAAGAGCTCGTGTTGGTCCAGGGCATCCAGCAAAACATTGATGGGATGAGGGAGAAATGGGAAAAAACCCCTGATAAAGCTGAAGGGTTGTGTTAAAAGGATTGTTGGACATGTGTTATTCACAGCATTACTGTGGGAGACTTAAAATTCTCAAACTAAGAAACAGGAACTTTGTGGCTGAAACTGTCCCAGGCTGGGAGTCTGATCACTCCAGAGCTTCAGAAATAGTGTTGGGGTCACCAGACCTCTCCTGGAGCCTCACAGCACCCAACTGAGGGGAAAGGAAACTCACTTGTCTCTCTTTGAAGATGAGCAGTAATGAGTTGTGAGGGTGAACAATAACACTCCTGAAAAACATGATTAAACTGTGGGAATTCCCACTGAAAAGCGGAGTGGTCGCCTCATCGAAAGGGAAGATGCCAGAGGAAGCAGGACCAGGGCTGGCTCGTTCCGTGACTCTCACCCGCCTCTGCTGTTTTCTCCCCCCAGTTTGTCCAGCTGCCTGCAAGTCCCAGGGCTGCACCTCGGACGGGCAGTGCTGCCACAGCGAGTGCCTCGGGGACTGCACGGAGCCCAACGACCCCGAGAAGTGCGTGGCCTGTCGCAACTTCTACCTGGAAGGGAGGTGCGTGGACAACTGCCCCCCTGGGTACTACCGCTTCGAGGGCTGGCGCTGCGTGACCTTCAGCTTCTGCCAGGAGCTGCACAACAAGTGCAAGAACGCCCGGGAGTCGGGGTGTCACGTCATCCACAACAACGAGTGCGTCCACGAGTGCCCCTCGGGGTACATCATGAACTCCAGCAAGTGAGTACATGCTCTGCAGGTGAAGGATCCTCCGTGCTGGGGGGGTTTTGGGGGGGCTGTGCCTCCCTCTCGCTCGGACGTGGGGTTTGCGTTCTCTGTGGACGCCGGGAAAAGTTTCTGGCTTCGGAGCATCCGTGACGATCACCTGGGTGGTCTGCTTTAACATGATTTACAAACTAATGCCTTGCTAATTCAGTCCATTAAAAGCAGGCAGGTCTAACCTTAACCGTGTGCTGGGAGTTTATTCTTCCCGTGGCCTCCCTCGTTTGAGAAAGGGGCAAAAAGGGAGATAAGGGAGAGAGGACAAGGAAGAGGAGCATCCTCAGATTGGGAGGGTCTTTCTGGGGGAGGAGGGAGGTGGGCAGTGGAGAGGCTTTAGCAGCCCTGTTTCCCTTCCCTCTAGAGCAGCCTCAGGCCAGAAAGCTGGGCTGGAAAACAGGGAGAGGCTGTGGCTGGAAAGCACAACAGGGAGAGGTCGTGGCTAATGAAAAGAGCGCAGCGTCCTTTGAGTGCATCGTTCTCAGAATATCTGTTCCTCGTCCCTGTAATTACTTTCATTGAGCAGGTTCAAGCTGTGCCAGACATAAATGCACAATGTAACAAACAAGTGTAGCATGAATCAAAGCAGGGAACAGCCATTCTGTCCATTCCCAGGGTTTTTCGACAAAGGAATTAAATAATTTATGCTGCTGAGCTGTTTATCACTGAAAACTGTTGTTTTTCCCATAATACCATTATATATTGTGATGAGTCAGATTTCCTATGAATGTTGGTAGCTTTGTGCTCCCATGTATTTGCCCCTGCCATGTGTAATAAATTTCGGGGAATTCACTCTTAACAGGACTTTTTATGCCATTTCCTGTTTTGCTTTTCAGAAGAACAAACAAGTAGCCCCAAAGTAGCTCTCCTGGTTGTGTAACAGCACCATGGCCTCTCCTGTGCTGTTCCAGGCTGCTGCCAGTGGGACCTCACAGCTCTGTTCCCTGCTTTTCCTCGAGCATTTCTTTCTCTGAACGAGTCGGGAACACATGTTTGTGGGGGTGTGACCAGGGCAAGTGACGAGCTCGCAGTATTTCCCCGGAGCACAAAGCACATGCTTGCCTTTTGGAAGGCAACTTTATGTGCAGTCCTCAATCAGAGGATTCCCAGATGAGGGGCCAGCTCATTAATTACCCGTTTGGTTCACGATCTTGGGGTGAACACTGGGTTTGCTGGTCTTGGGACCCTCGGTATGTAGAGCACTGAGCAGCGCTGTGGTGAACCGGCTCCTCAGCATAACCAAAATCACTTTGTTCTGGTTTCTGCCATGCAGGGAGAAAGGGAGTAATTTACATTTGAAGCGTGGAAATGACAATTTTAAGGAGTGATTTTCAGGGCCAGGTTGGACAAAGGGCTTGGAGCAGCCCGGTCCGGTGAATCCCGTGGCGTTCCTGCCAGGACACCGCTGCTTTTGGGGATTGCTGGGGGGTGACCATTCCATGTTAAGCATCGCCCCTGCATCCCAACTGTCCTGTTTTGCAGCCTGCACTGCACGCCCTGTGCGGGGCCCTGTCCCAAGGTGTGTGACTTTGGGAAGGAGAAGACGATCGACTCGGTGACGTCGGCGCAGGAGCTGCGGGGCTGCACGGTGGTCAATGGCAGCCTGGTCATAAATATCCGGGGAGGAAGTAAGTGCTTCATGTGGGTGAGGAGGGGCCAGGGCAGGGAATGTGAGCCCAGCCCTGAGCTGGGGCTGTTCTGGTGACCAGCACTCAAGGGAATGGCCTGGAGTTGTGTCAGGGGAGGTTGAGGTTGGATATTAGAAAAAATTTCTTCCCCCAGAGGGTGGTTGGCACTGCCCAGGCTCCCCAGGGCAGTGGGCACGGCCCCAAGGGTGCCAGAGCTCCAGGAGCGTTTGGATGATGCTCTCAGGCACAGGGTGTGACTCTTGAGGTGTCCTGTGCACAGCCAGGAGTTGGACTGGATGATCCCTTCTAGCTCAGTCTATTCTGGGTTTCTCTTTTGCTTTACCACCCTGAATCTTGGAGGGATTCAGAGGAATAACCACCAAGCAAAGGCTCTTGAAGGTTATTTGGGTTTTTTGTACTAAATGAATTTTGTAAAGTCTCACGAATTAACATAAACCAGTTCTGTTTAATGTGTTTGGGTTCTGATATCGGTTTTTCTCTCAGTGATATCAGAGAACTAATCCCAATATTTTTGTCTCCTTAGATAACATAGCAGCTGAGCTGGAAGCAAATCTTGGCTTGATAGAAGAAATCTCAGGTTACCTCAAAATTCGCCGCTCTTATGCCTTGGTTTCTCTTTCTTTCTTTCGGAAGCTCCATCTGATTAGAGGAGAAACACTTGAAGCTGGGTGAGTTCTCTCAAAAGTCACTGTGTGTTTGAATGCTTTGAAGTGCAAGGGAGTGCCAGTGCTATCAGACTGATAGCATTTGCGTCGGGAAACAATTCCTAAGTTATTTTTAAACACTCCTCTGCCCACGGATTGTGCCCTACCAGGGGAGACAGTTTGCATTCCCTTTTCTTTGGTGTCTGGGTCAGTGCATGAGGAAGAAAGAGTTTCCAGTGGATCCCCTCCCAACCCGTGTTTTCGTTCTCCTTCTTTCAGCAATTACTCATTTTATGCCTTGGACAACCAGAATCTCCGCCAGCTCTGGGACTGGAGCAAACACAATCTCAGCATTGCACGAGGCAAACTCTTCTTCCACTACAACCCCAAGCTGTGCTTGTCAGAAATCCACAAGATGGAAGAGATCTCCGGGACTAAGGGGCGTCAGGAGAGGAACGACATAGCCCTGAAGACCAACGGGGATCAGGCCTCGTGTAAGAGTCTCAGGACGCAGCAAGTCCTGCCTCAGTTCCATCCTCACACTCCTGTTTCCCTCAGCCTGGCCCTTGATGTTGGTCCAGGGATTAAATAGTCACAACCTCCTTTTTCCCATGTCGTGAGGAGATGGTGGGCACAGGGAATAAAGGTGGGAGAAACAGGATTTCCACCCATCCCTGGAGCCGTGTGAGGGAATCGCCCTGGCAACAGTCAGGAAAATTTTCCCAGTGGTTTTTGCTGTGCTTCTCAGAGGTTTTTAAGCTGATGGCTTTCTTCAGCAGCAGCGATGAAGCAGTGCCTGTGTCAGCGTGGTTAAGGCACTGAAGTTGTGCTCCTGAAGATGTAGTTTTGAAGACACTTATTTTGGCAGCTGTGCCGCCGTAAATGCTCCCCTTCTGCACCCCCAACCCTGCTGTTTGTTCCCTTTCTGTGCCACACAAACCCCTTTCCCTGTTTGTGCCAGTAAAACACTTACAGGCCTGTGTGGGGGTAGAAAATACCCAGCTTTGTTGTTAGCTGGTGGCATCTGCTCTGTTTCATTACTCACCTGCACATAAGAACAGGAGCACACACAGGTTGACATGAGATGCTTAAGCAGGTATTGGCAGCCAAAAGCCCAGCATTAATTAAACTGTGGTTTCAGATCCTTGCCCACACCCTGCAGTGCAGTTTGGATCATCCTTTGGGTGCTCTGCCCCTCTGCTTTTGGGGGACAGCACTGCTAAAGGTCCCTTCCAACCCAAACCATTTGGTGGTTCTGTGATCCCCCCAGTCCTGCTGCAGCTGTTTGTGAACAGGCTTCAAAAGCGAAGATCTTGCAGTTGACTGACTCAGTTTGCTGCTCTGCTTTTCCACATGTAGGCACATGCAGCAATGCCAGCACAGTGGGAGAAGGGAATGCAATGGCTGTGACCTGAAAACTGGCAGTGCCCGTGAAAAACACACCCAGAGCCACGTCCTCGGGGGCACCACAGCTCCAGCCCAGGCAGAGAGGGAAGGAGTACAAGGAATTATCTGTCTGTAAAGTTCATCTCCTCCCATGAGACACCAAAAAGCTCTTCCCACATGGGGGATGAACCTGGGTTTGGAGTTCAGGCCCACTCCTGGGCTGGGGTTTGGTTTGAAGGCAGCTGGAGGAGACAGTTGTGTTCCTCTTTGCCAGCTTTGCCCCTCCTCTGCTGAGCTGGTGTCTGTGCCACCCCCACCTCAAACCACAGCTTGCCAGGGTGTTTGGCTTTTTGTTTGTTTTTACAGTTCAAGTTTAGTTTTCACATTGGCAGCATCCTGTTTACTAAAAAAAAAAAAAAAAAAAAAAGATTAAAAAAAAGCCCTTATTTGTTCTAAGTTGTGGTGCCAGTGAAATGAATGTTCTAACTCCCTTTGCAGCTACTGCAGGAATAGCAAATCCAGTCAGAGCCACAGTTTGTCCTTCTTGGGCTGCTGGGACAAACCTCCTGCAAACACCCTCCTGTTTGCAAAGGGACCAAACTGCTCCTGGGCAAGGCTGGGAAATCATGTGCTTCGTTTTTGTGCACACCCCATTACTGGGGCCAGCTGTGCAGGTCATCATAAATTGTAAAAATACGTTGCATTTAGAGTTCCCCTCTTTTTAGAATTTAGTTCAGCTCATCTACAGAGTCATTTTCATAAAATCACAGCAAAATTTAAGCTGGCAGGAGCCTTAGGAGGGCATCTGTTCCAACCCTGACTTAAGGTAGGAAGAGCATTGAAGTAAGATAAGCTTTTGATAAGCAGCTCTTCTCAGTGCCAGCATTCTCATATTTTATCTTACACCTCTCAGATAATAAAAATCCCAGCCCTTATTTTTTAGCATCAACAAATTCATTGTGGCTTCTCATTTGTCTCAGGTGAAAACGAGTTGCTGAAATTTTCTTACATCAGGACTTCTCACGACAAGATCCTGCTGAAGTGGGAGCCCTACTGGCCTCCTGATTTCCGAGATCTGCTGGGATTTATGCTGTTCTACAAGGAAGCGTGAGTGAACCCCCCTTAGACCACAAACTCCTGGCCATGCTGGGCTCCCACAGTCAGCAGTTGGCCTTGAAGGGTGGATAATAAACCTGTTGTAGGCAAAGCTGTTTAATCTCTGATTGTCTGGCTCCAACACTTCAGTTCCCTTCTGTAATTATTCATTAAGATCCCTGACTTACCGAGTCAAAAATTCCTCATCTAAGAACAATCCAAACGTGAGTTCTTCCAATTCTTCCAGCCACAAAGTTTATCATCTCGCCACCACCTCCATGGGATGTTGAGGGTTTTATTCCCTTTGAGGTGGGAAGGGTTGTTTTAGAAGCTGATTTGCATAAAGCTGGAAATAATGATCCTGGATTTAGTTGTTGGGGATCATGTGTGGCACAGGACCTGCCCTTTGATGCTTCACTTTCAGAATAAATAGAATGAGAGAATTAATACTTTCTCCAGAGAGTAAAGAATGGTAACTTTCAGTGATGTCCTTAGAACTGTTGTTTTTAAAAGATGAGTGAGGATTCTGTTAATTTGAGCCTCTTCTGTCCCAAAGTCCGTACCAAAACGTGACGGAGTTCGACGGCCAGGACGCCTGTGGGTCAAACAGCTGGACAGTTGTGGATGTTGACCCACCCCCACGGTCCAACGAGCCCAAAGCCCAGGCCCAGCCAGGCTGGCTCCTGAGGGGCCTGAAGCCCTGGACACAATATGCCGTGTTTGTGAAAACCCTGGTCACCTTCTCCGACGAGCGACGCACGTACGGGGCAAAGAGCGAGATCATCTACATCCAGACCAACGCCACGGGTCAGCACCAGCACAGGGATGCTGCTTTGCAAGGGGGAAAAGAGGTCTAAATAAGAAGAGGGGCAGCCACTGATCTCTGCTCTGTGGTGACAGGACCCCAGGATGTGGCCTGGAGTTGTGGCAGAGGGGGTTTAGGTTGGATATTAGGAAAAGGTTGTTCTCCCAGAGGGTGGTGGGCACTGAACAGGGCAGTGGGCACGGCCCCAAGGCTGCCAGGGCTCATGAAGTGTTTGGATGATCCTCTCAGGCACAGGGTGTGACTCTTGGGGATGGTTCTATGCAGGGCCAGGAGTTGGACTGGATGATCTTTGTGGGTCCCATCCGACTGTAAATAATCTTCTGATAGTCCCACACCCATGAAACTTTCATTGCTGCTGTACTTTGGTAGGAAGGGATTCCTAAACCAATGGAAGGGTGTGGGATTCCCTGCACAGGGAGACTGTGCCAGGTGTGCTCTCTTCTACCCAGCCCACGTGGCCACGTGTAGGAATCAGTAAGGCTGGAAAAGACCTCTGGGATCATCAAGTGCAGCCTTTGGGAGCCTGAGCGTTGTGGTGTTTCTGCTGCAGGAATGGAGAATGGTTGATTCCCATAGGGATGGCAACTTGCCTGTGCTTGTCCCCCATCCTGTCACCCCCTGGCAGGGCAGTGCAGTGACCTGTGTCTCTTTGCCCACCCACGCAGTCCCGTCGGTGCCGTTGGATCCGATATCCGTTTCCAACTCTTCATCCCAAATCATCCTGAAGTGGAAGCCGCCCTCGGAGCCCAACGGGAACATCACACACTACCTGGTGTACTGGCAGCAGCAGGCAGAGGACAGTGAGCTTTATGAACTTGATTACTGCTTGAAAGGTGAGTGGCTGCTCCTCTCTCTGGGCCTTTCCTTCAGTCTCTCTCAGAATTCCCTGGAGTTTTTGCCTTGGAGATGCTCTGGGGGCCCAATTCTGCTGTTTCCAAGAGTGTTGTTCAAGAAACAGGCTGAGATGCAGCTGTGTCCTCCCCCTGTTCATTATACATTAGGTGCTACTGCCAAGGTATGTGCAAAAGGTCTCCAAAAACATTTCTTACACAGTAATCAGATTGGTTTTTTTTTTCCTTTTGGGATCTCCCTGCTGCCCTCGTTCTTTCTAAACTGAGTTACAAGTTTAACAGCAGCTGTGGAGATGGTAAAGTGAAAAATTTCAGTGCTTCTGTTGCTCAGGGCCAGGTTAATTTTTGAAGGTGTCTTGTGCCTGGTTTGGGATTCCTCGAGAACACAGAGTTTCACTGAGGACTCCCAAATTCTCACCTGCTGCCCTGTGTTACCTAAACTGGGATGGACTGGGATAGAACTCACAGACTGCAGCAGCACCTGAGCTTTGTTTCAAAAGAGATTTTTGAGTCAAAGGCTTGTCAGAAAAGAGGGAACTGCTCAGCCCTGGGTGTGAAAGCTCAGGATGCCCAAACGTGCCGTGAGTCCCGTGCACACTGGGTTGGGTTCTTTGTAGGGTCAAACACCTGCCAAGTCAAGCACAGGTGACACCAAAACTCTTTTGTCCACAGGATTAAAACTTCCCTCAAGGACGTGGTCTCCTCCTTTTGAATCTGAAGACCCTCAGAAGTACAACCAGAGTGAAAACGAGGATGTCAGTGGGGAATGTTGTTCCTGCCCCAAGACAGACTCCCAGATCCAGAAGGAGCTGGAGGAATCTGCTTTCCGCAAGACATTTGAGAACTACCTTCACAACGAGGTTTTTGTGCCCAGGTAGGAACACCAGACGGTGCCCAGGTGGTCAGGGGGAGGGAAATGTGATTATTAAACACAATTATTAGGCTGGTTGTGGTCACGCTGCCAGTGTCTGGGCTTCCATGAGCCTGTCTAGTCCAGCTGGAATGGTGACAGCTGCTCACCTACACTGATGTCTCTGCAAATTGGGAAGATCCTGCTTTAATTTCCTGTCTCTGAATCCTCCTTAGCTTGGGAATAAAGTGAGAATCCTTAACAAACAGCTGGATGCCTGCAGCTCGTTGAAACTCGGATGATGCCAAAAATAGCGATTTTTTTATTTCTATCAAAAAATGTTGCGGTCAAGTTTTTCATTGAGTTGAAAAGAAAGGAAAAGGGCAGTTTATGAGGCCGCAGCCTCGTCCCTCAGTGTGGTATTTGTGGTCTTCCTTGCACTTAGTGTGGGAAATACCTCCAATACCATGAGGAATGTGAGTGCTGTGGGTGGTGAATGTCCTGTTTTGAGTGGCACACACAGTGTCACATTAGGTGGTGTTGAATGTCTTCACACTTCATATGCAGCTCAGGGAGGAAGTGCTGGGGAAGCGGGTCAGAATCTGGGATGATTTACCCTCTTCCCTGTCATGCATTTTGCGCTCTAAATTTATTCTCAGCTTGCCGAGCCCTGAGCTAACAAACCTTTATTTGCAGCTCCTTGGCAAAAGCTGCGTCCCTGCAGTGAACATTTTCCTTTTGGAAGGCACTGAGTGCGTTGCTGGGGTGTTCCCTGGGAGGCTGCTCTGGGGCAGAGTCCCTCCTTTTGCCACTCCCTGGCTGTTGGTGCCCATCAGGACAAGTTTCACTGGGCCAGAGGATGCCAGGACAGGTTGTATTCCGAGGCAGAGGAGCCATGTGCAAGAGCCAACCTCCTCCTGATGCAGGCAGACGATTCTGACAATCTGATTTCTTTTTTATTTCCTTTTTTTTTTTTCCCCCCCAATTTTATCGTGCAGCCAGCCCAGGATGCTTCTCAGGCCAGTTTCTGGGGTATGTATTTTAGGAAGAAACCAATCCACCAGGATGTGCCACCCTGTCAGCCTGCTAAGGAACAAATCTCCACATCCCTAGGCTTGGCTGATCCTTTAAAACAAGCTCTTTTGCTGTTATAAGTCCATGGTCAAGATACCTCCCTGCTTGTCTTCCCTGGCAGCTCCAGGCTGTTGTCACGTAAAATCAGAATTATTTTTCCTGTGGATACTTTGCTATCACCTGCTCTCAAAGCCTGGCAATGAGTGGGGTTTACCTAAAGTGCTTTTTTTGTGGCTCCTGAGAGTTCACTGACCTCTCTCGAGGTGCTGTGTGGCCTCTCCTGGAGAGGAGAAACCTGCCAGTCACGGGAGGAATGCGAGGGATGAGGCCAGCAGGGAATATGAGATGGCAGAGGGGGCAGAATCAGAGCAGTTTCTCCCTGATGCCTTGTCTCCTTGTTTTCCATGTGCCATTCCTCTCCTCCTGTCCTCCTCCCAGCCATCTGATCCCCATGTGCAGGATCCTGGACGTGGCTCTGCCCTGCTCTGCTCAGTCCAGGGCTGATCTCACCCTTCTGGAAATCAGAGGCTGTTCCTTCCCCCCGTGCACATTTATTCCCAGGATTTCCTATCAGTGCTGTGGGTCAGTTTGCTCTGGCACTGACAAGGCAAAGCAGAGATTTGGGGATGTTTCTGGCAGAGCTGGCAGGTGTCTTCACCCCAGCTTGCTCTGTGACCTGCCTTTGGAGCTGAGCAAAGGGGGCCATCAGAAGCTGGTGCTTTGTTCCTTCTGTCCCGTTTTATTTGCTCTTATTTTGGGAGACTTTTGTGCAGGTTGGATGGTTG